GCCCCGCCCATTCAGCCTACAGCAGTTTAGCCCCACCCATTCAGCCTACAGCAATTTAGCCCCGCCCATTCAGCCTACAGCCTACATATAACAACACAAAATGTAGAATATGAGCCCTTTAATACTTGCAGTCAGATGAGGATCATTTTAATGTTTTATTGTTTTTAGGCTGAAATACAGAGAAAATGTATAAAATTGTAAATTGTATTTTCTGCTCTGCTTAATGTTTTTTTTCTTCCTGCTGAAGCTGGTCGGCTCGGACGCTGCTGGAGAGGTGGAGGAGGTGAAGGAGGAAGAGAGGGACGAAGTTTGGGACTCGATGGAGACAGTGAGAGAGAAAGGAGAGAAAAGAGCTGCACTGGAGGAGGAAGAGGAGGAGTGCGGAGAAACAGGAGAGAAAGAAGAGAAGAAGAAGAAGAGAAAAAAGGCCAAGAAGTGATTGTAGTTATTCTTACTGTGGAACTTTTACATTTATTCATGTGGACTTTTATTTTGACATACAGACTGAAATACATGTATAAATCCACTCTGTAGTCTGATCTCCTTTTTTGTTCTGCTGATCTCTGAGCTAAAGCTGCAGTAAATCCGAGTTTATAATGAAACCGAATTCAGGGGGATTCACTGTGATGAGTGAATAAATTTCAGGTGAATTTTTACGTCAAGTTCAACGTCGGTGAACTTTGACGTGCAGATTTGCGTCACCAATATGCCCTTTTCACAAGAAACACTGGATAAAACAAGTTCTTTTGTCGACTTACAGTTACTAACCTCAGAAATACAGGCTTTCGTATCACTTCAGCACCACAGAAAGATGAGTCACTTTGTTGTAGTTGCCAAGATTAAAATTCGAGGATGAGTCCAGAACTGTTGGAGAACCAAACATGCAACAATGTGGGAGTCCAAAGTAAATAAGGATATAAATGATTTGTGGAAAAATTCCTTCACAGCTATCAGAGCACAGTAACGTCAGCTGCGACTACAGAGAGATAAATCAATGGAGGTGAAAATAACTAGAACCGAAACGCTGGATTAGCCATGTTAGCTGGAGATGTTCAAACAGCTCACTAGCGGTAAACTAGTTGGCAAGAGGTAAACATGCACACACACCAGCAGGGGGCGCGATGGGTCGTCAGCGTCTGTAGCGCCACTGTAGATGTTTTACACAAACACCAAACGAACATCTGCTCCCCGCTGAGCTCTCGCTCTCTCAGATACTGACAGCTTTAGAGGGAGGAAATGAAAACTGTTCCTCTGAAAGCGGCTGAAGCAGCAACTTTACAGCACAAACTTCACATTAACATCAGTCAGCAGCGCTGAGATGCAGACACTGAGGTTCTTTTACTCCAGATGACAAAGTTTATTCCTTTATTAACTGCACAAACCCATTTTCCTCTGCTCATTGTCAGCTGACAAACCACTGAAACTGAGTTTCAGAGCTCGAGCACTTGTGTGAGCTGTACCTGTCACGTGGGTTCTTAGGGTGTTTTCACACTTGGGCCGTTTCAGTGTCTGAAGTGGACTCGGAGCACTGAGTCATGGATTTCTGTGCATATGTGAACACGACAAACGAACTCAGACCCTCTAAACGGCCCCAAAACGAACCGCACTCAGACTCTCGGTTTGTTTATAGTTGTTTTTGTGGTCTAGTTGATTTGTGCTTTGTGAGAAAAAAAGTTCTACATATAGTTCACTTACATTGTGAGCACAAAAAGCTCCGAGGTCATTTGCTGTTGGTTTGCTTTAACAGAACTCAGTTTGGTTCATTTAAAAAGAACTACAAGTGAAAACACCTCTAAGTGGACACAGAGTCCACGCAGAATGACACAATTCATAACCCAACACAAGAATGAGCTGCATTCTGAGCATTACAGCAGAGGGCGCTATAGTGAAATCCAAGCCTGACCGAGCGGCCTCGTACCGCCAGTGTGCTTTTTCAACTGCCGGAGCAGACAAGCAGCTGAGTCTCGTAAAAATGATTCATATAAACATATGTGACGCATTATTACCTTTTAATTTCATTCATTCAGAAGAGCTGAAGCAGCTCACTCTCCCCTACTGTTGGGATAACAGTGTAACTCTCTGATTTATCCTCAGCGGTGCCGCGTTGGTGTAACGGCGGTGCCGCGGTGGTGTAACGGCGGTGCTGTGAAGGGTAACGGCGGTGCCGCGTTGGTGTAACGGCGGCGCTGCGGTGGTGTAACGGCGGTGCTGTGAGGGGTAACAGCAGTGCTGTGGTGGTGTAATGGTCGTGTTGGTGGTTTAGTGGTGGTGTTACGGTGGTGTGATGGTAGTGTTTCAGTGGTGTGATGGTAGTGATGTGCCGTAATGGTGATCAGTGGTGTTTCCCGGCAGTGTGTGTGTGTGTGTGTGTGTGTGTGCTGTGTGTTAAAGGGTGTGTGAGCTATTAAACATTACACTGAGCACATAAACCGCACCTTCCTCTCGATAAGATAACACACAGCGCACTGAGCGTCTCTACTGAACATTATCCTCAAAACTCACACACCAAACCATTCACACCTGATTTACCCGCTGATCAAGGAACATTATCGATAATGAACTGTTCTGTATTAAAGTTATTTACAGTCTGATATACTGTCAGATTAGTCACATTTTAGAGCAGTGATTCGTAGCTTTATGAAATTATGACTGAATTTGCTGATTATTTGTCTGAATTATGAAAAATTATCTGCTGTGTGTGAGTCTCTCTGTGTGTGTGAGTCTCTCTGTGTGTGTGTGTGTGTCTGTGTGAGTCTGTGTGTGTGTGTGTGTGTGAGTCTGTGTGTGAGTCTCTCTGTGTGTGTGAGTCTCTCTGTGTGTGTCTGTGTCTGTGTGAGTCTGTGTGTGTGAGTTTCTGTGTGTGTGGTGTGTGTGTGTGTGTGAGTCTCTGTGTGTGTGTGTGTGTGTGTGTGTGAGTCTCTGTGTGTGTGTGTGTGAGTCTCTGTGTGAGTCTGTGTGTGTGAGTTTCTGTGTGTGTGTGTGTGTGTGTGTGTGTGTGTGAGTCTCTGTGTGTGTGTGTGTGTGTGAGTCTCTGTGTGTGTGTGTGTGTGTGTGTGTGAGTCTCTGTGTGTGAGTGTGTGTGTGTGTGTGTGAGTCTCTGTGTGTGTGTGTGTGTGTGAGTCTCTGTGTGCATGAGTGTGTGTCTGTGTCTGTGTGTGTGTGTGTGTGTGAGTCTCTGTGTGCATGAGTGTGTGTCTGTGTCTGTGTGTGTGTGTGTGTGTGTGAGTCTCTGTGTGTGCATGCTCTGAGACAGTAACTGAGGTCAAAGGTCACATGAACAGCAGTGAGAAATGCAGTGAAGGGCAGCAGCTAAACACTCATCTGTTTTTCATGTTGCTGTTTATTTTTGACTTTGTAAACAGTTACAGTTTAAAATATTTTCCACACAGATTATAATATCAGCGAAACAATCTGAGTGAAAAGTAGCTCAATTTTTAACATCAATTTCAGAATCTATAAATATGTGGGGCTTTTATTTTGCTTTAATGACAGGAGCACTCGACCCTCATGAACGACCCAAGTTTGTGTAAAAGCCTCTGATGAGCAGATCAGATCCACCTCAGAGTAATAATAATAATAATAATAATATAAAGACCGAAAACAAAATCATTGTAATTAATTTAGCTTAAATTTGAATAATGATCTAAAAATAGTTCAGAATATTTAATATTTCTTCTGTTTCTTTCCTTGTTTTAGATTTTAAAGCTTTTGTTTATTTACAGATTTAAATGAAAAAAAAGATCAAAGATTTTCATTTTGGCGTCACACTGTTAGAAATAAAGGTTCTGTTCAGGTCCATTTTTCATTCGTTAAGGTACAAACAGTGTAAATGTTCCCTCAAAGCTCCAACAGTGGTTTTAAGGTCTGATGGTGAACCTTAAATAAGTGTTTCCAGGTGAAAAGTTCGTATTTGTACCTTTTCATAACCGAATGTTTTAAACAGAACAGTAAAATAAAAGCCTGGAGACGAGACGGGGTGTGTGGAGTCAGTACAGCTTAGAACATATCATTCAGTGGATTATGGTTCAGTTATGTTCCCTGACTGAAGGTACTGAGATGGACCCTCGAGGGTTCCACCCCAGTGACAGTTTAGTACCTCTATTTCTGAGAGTGTGGAGCTTCTTCGCCTTTCACAAGTGCACATATATACATACACACAGACACAGACACACACATATATATACATATATAGTTTACAGTCAAAGGAAGAAACATTCTTAACTCTCAGTGTAAATGTAACCTGATTATTTTAAAAGTCAGTTTTAGGCATTTCTGTTTTTCCTCACTGTAAAGCCAGCTGGTATTTTCAAACTGTAATACATATTAACATTGTTATAAATACTGTATATTATACATACAGCATTATGATTATAAGCTGTAATTCCTCCTGACTGTCCTTTGAGCTCTTCAGCTTTTACACCAATAATTAACTCCGTCTCCATAAAGGAATTTTTATTATAGGATTATAAACTTTTTCTTTTGGTCCAGAGTCTCGGCGCTCGCTCGCGGATTAAGGCTGAGCTGAAGGTCAGCAGACGGTTCTTCACTCAGAACCAGATCTCAGAATTAAAGTGTGGATATTTTAAATATGTAAATGAGGCACTTAGATTCAGTTAAATGTATTTAATGTCACTGAGGAAGAATCAGAGTTATACTGTGGCGCCATCTAGTGGGCAGCAGCACAGTGACACTGACAGTTGCACTCATCATTACACTGTACAGTTTATACAGTTTATACAGTGTGTGTTTGTGATCAGATTCAGAACTGAGAGTGAAAAATAATGAAGTAACTTTTGAATTTATCAACAAAGTGAGCTGCGAGTGTGTGTGTGTGTGTGTGTGTGAGTGAGTGTGTGTGTGTTGTGAGTGTGTGAGTGTGTTTGAGTGTGTGTGTGTGTGAGGGCAGGGCTGGAGTGGTTAAATATTGACGCGGAGTGTGTGTAATGATTAACGCAGGTCCAGATCACTCTTAAACTCTGCTCACACTCGCACACTTGGCCACTCCGGACCTCCAGCTGCAGACCGCCGAAGACACACTCCCGCAGGACCAGGTAAGAGTGTGTTTCAGTCATGTTCAGGTGTGTGTGTGTGTTTGGTCCAGTTTTGGTCATTTTGAGGGTCAGCTGATATAAAGACACAGAAATTAGACGTGGTTCACACTGTGGTACAGTAATGTGTGTGTGTGTGTGTGTGTGTGTCTTGCTAGCTCACACTCTCGAGTGCAGACCAGCAAAAAGGTACAAAAGCTCTCTCTGTCCCTGAACGTCCTCACAATGATAGTAAAACCTGATTGTGTCTAAGTGAGGACCTGTTGCTGGTCATCACTCGAGAATCTGCTGTTTCACCACAAATTAAATTTTTTTTGAAAAACTAAAAGAGCAGAATGAGGCCTTTAGTTTACTGTTTAAGTTTAGGTTTAGGTTTAGTTCTTCCGTAACACAGAAGTGTATTAAAGTCCGTACGAGTACAGTGAGACAGGTGTGTGTGTGTGTGTTGCGGCCTTTTGTCTGCACTTCCTGTTCGTCTGATTCACTCAGTAAACTCTGGGCTGAACTAAAGCTGAGCAAACATTTTAATATTAATATAATCTGATAACGTTAAAGTAACGTTTCATTACATAGTGGCCAAAATAACAGAAACACCCCGTAACTGCTCACAAAGCCTAAAATATAAAGATGATTTTAAAATAATGTGTGTTAAACACTGAAGATAAAGAGTCACACACTCAGAACAGGTTAATACAGAGTAAAAATGTTATTATACAGAATAATAATATAATATAAATAATATAAAATAAATATAATGTAAACTGATTTATGAAAATCAGCCGCAGATTCAGAGTTTTTAAAGCTGATAAACGCTGCTGTGTGAGTTTTGTGCGTATGAGAAACATCAGTGCTGTGATTATTGTGATTAAACAGTAATCCAGAGTAAACGGCACCACGCCCAGAAAACTGACCACAGGCTGCGTCCGGCACACGACATGAAGACCCAGAACAGACCACACGATCAGCTACAAACAGGCTGGAAGACACTCAGCACAAAATACTTCAGTAAACATTATTATTATAAATTTATTAGAGAAATAAAACAGAAACACTGACGAACTGCTCACATTCAGAGCTGTGATTATTATAACTAAGGTTATTATAACTGTGATTATTATAACTGTGATTATTATCGCTGTTATTAATGTACAGACAAACACAGTGATGATCTATAGAGGCTGAGACTCACAGAGAGAGAGAGAGAGAGAGAGAGAGACCTTAGTGTTCTATAGAGTCTGAGTGAGATACAGATTAATCCCAACAGAGACTCAGTGCTGCAGTTAGTCCTAAACTTAATCCCAGTCCAGGAAGCTGGCGTAGAGTGAGAGAGAGAGAGAGAGAGAGAGAGGGAGAGAGATAAGAGCCCCCACTGACCCCGCTGACCCTGCTCCGCCCGTCATTGTCACTTTATTATTCTGTTTTTCTGAACAGATCAAAGAGCTTTACAGCCGGACAAAGTCTGACCAATAAAAACAATAAAAATATGATAAAAATGATAAAATGATGAAACACGACCGCAGATTTTGGACTTTAAGCACGAGACGGAAATGATTCACGAAAAGCTGATCAGAGAGACACACACACACACACTCACACACTCACACACACTCACATGCACACACACACACACACACACACACACACACACACTCACACACACTCACATGCACACACACACACACACACACACACACACACACACACTCACACACACTCACATGCACACACACACACACACACACACACTCACACACTCACATGCACACACACACACACACACACACACACACACACACACACTCACACACACACACACACTCACATGCACACACACACACACACACACGCACGCACACACGCACGCACGCACGCACACACTCACACACCCTGTACTGTGCTGCTCTGTGTGTATGTGTGTGTGCGTGCGAGTGTGTGTGTGTGAGTGTGTGTCAAACATCATAAAGCTGTTATCGGTTCTGCTCTTTGCTCTGATTGGCTGATTCTGCTTCTATGGCGGGTCATAAAGATGAAGAGAAAACCTGAGGGTCAAAGTCAGCATCTCTCTCTCTCTCTATTTCTCTCTCTCTTTCTGTCTCTCTCTCTCTCTCTCTCTCTTTACTCTCTCTCTCTCTCTCTCTCTCTCTCTCTCTCTCTCTCTGTGTGTGTTAGTGGTCAGTCGGTCAGTTCAGTCCAGCTGATTCTGACTGTGTATTTTCTGTGTGTGTGTTTTTTCCAGGTGTGTTTGAGCTGCTCAGTGTGTGTTGGAGACGCTGCACTTCCTCCTCCTCTCCACAGGCGGCGCTGTGCTGTGACTGAGCTGGTGCTGCTGCCTGTAACAGCAACTCCATGTGGAAGTGTGTGTGTGTGTGTTCCAGTGGAGCTGCTGTTACCTGCAGACGGTGACCTTCGACCTTCAGCGTCTGACTGCAGCCTCCGAAAAACACTGCAGCGGTTACTTAGCAACAGCAGATTAATAAACACTGAAGTCAGTAAAGTAATGAGTTTAATTCAGTAATGAGGTCAATTTAAAAATTATCAGAATTCAGTAATGAAGGAAATGAAATCAAAAAAGATGTAAATTCAGTAATGAGGTAAATAAAAATGATAGAAATTCAGTATTAAAGTAAATTCATTAATCAAGAAACTTCAAAAATGAGGTAAATTCAGTAACAAATTAAATTATTAATTCTGTAATTTTAATTCAGAAATTTTAGTTCAGTTTTGAGGTGATTTAAACAAGTTGTAAATTCAGTAATGAGATAAATGTGGTAATGAGGTAAATTCAGTAAAGAATTAAATTAAAAAATATATAATTTTAGTAATTAGGGAAATTCAAAAAAGATAAATTCATTGATTAATTAACTTTAAAAATAAATCCAGTATTGAATTAAATTCTAAAGTATAAAGTAAAGTCAGTAGTGAAGTAAATTAAAAAATTCCAGTTATGTAGAAATTAAAAAATTAGGTTAATTTAAAAATGACAGGTTCAGTAACGACATAAATTCAGTGAAGAAAAACTGAGTAATTAGTAAAATTGGGACTGAAGGTGGTCCCGCTGGGGGTGGGATGCAGGGCGATGACCTATGAATTGACAGCCAGTTTAAGTGGGCCTGCCTGTCAGTTCTGTAGGCCACTGTCCTGTTGTCCTCTCTGTCCCGTCTGTCATCTCTGTCCTATTTGTCCTGTCTGTCCCATCTGTCCTGTCTGTCATCTGTCCCATCTGTCCTGTCTGTCCCATCCGATCTGTAAGCCACTGTCCTGTCTGTCCTCTCTGTCCCGTCTGTCATCTCTGTCCCATCTGTCCTGTTTGTCCCATCTGTCCTGTCTGTCCCATCCGATCTGTAAGCCACTGTCCTGTCTGTCCTCTCTGTCCTGTCTGTCATCTGTCCAATCTGTCCTGTTTGTCCTGTCTGTCCCGTCCGATCTGTAAGCCACTGTCATGTCTGTCCACTCTCTCCTGCCTGTCCTGTCAGTTCCGTAGGCCACTGTCCTGTCTGTTCTCTCTGTCCCATCTGTCCCATTTGTCCTGTCTGTCCTCTCTGTCCCGTTTATCCTGTCTGTCCTCTCTGTCCCATCTGTCCTGTCAGTTCTGTAAGCCACTGTCCTGTCTGTCCTCTCTGTCCCGTCTGTCATCTGTCCCATCTGTCCCATCTGTCCTGTTTGTCCTGTCTGTCCCATATGTCCTGTCAGTTCTGTAAGCCACTGTCCTGTCTGTCCTGTCTGCTGTGTCAGCTCTGTCTGTCCACTCATTAAAGAGGAGAAGAGAGTGATGAACACAGTGACGATGGCAGCCGTCCAGTCAGGCTTATAACACTGCAATATTTAAATGAGCTGTTTAAAGATATTTCTGTGTCTGTGATTAAAATGACATTAAAATTTTAAAAATTCTGGTGTTGAGTTTTGAATTTTCAGTGACAGTTTGGTGTTGATGTGCTGTTGTTTCCGTATTTCTGTAGCTCATTATTTATACAGATGCTTCAGTAGAGGATTTGGTTGTTTAGCACGGTGTTAACTGTGTTATTAGCTGGCAGCTGAGTTATGCTAATGTACGGTTTTCCCGGGAAACCCAGCAGAGAGTGAAGGCTGACCCGCCACGCCCTGACCTCAGACTGACCAAAGCTGTGGATGAACAGAGCAGCTGTTTGTGTTTAAGATTCTGGAACAAACTCTGCAGTGACTCATCAGAGTGTTATTCATTATATCACCCCCCCCACCCATATTCACCCCCCATTCACCCGCCACCCATATTCACACCCCATCTGTTCTGGGGAAATCACACACTTTCTAGTAAAGTTCACTACTTTCATTTTCACTTTACTGAATTACACACAGTGTATATATAAATCACTGCTGGCAGAACAAAACCTCACATCTCCAAAGTGACTTACAGGACAAGAAGAAACCGTCTCTACTTTCAGTGTAGTTTATCTTAAATAACTGCAGATGCTGAACTGTGATCAATGGATAAAATCAGTCTTATTGATGATCCTGAAACTCCCAAACAAAGACTGGAGCCGTGATCTGACTATGCTAACGCTAGCACCTCTCATTAGCTTCTTCCTGGCTGGTGTGTTTAAGTGTCTGATTTCTTTTAGTAATGAATTTTCAAGTCATTCAAAGCAAATTTACAGTTTATTAATGGATATTTAACTCAGTTACTGTCAGATCTAACTCAGTTACTGTCAGATCTAACTCAGATCTAACTCAGCTACTGTCAGATCTAATTCAGCTACTGTCAGATCTAACTCAGTTACTGTCAGAATTACCTCAGTTACTGTCAGATCTAACTCAGCTACTATCAGATTTACCTCAGTTACTGTCAGATCTAACTCAGCTACTGTCAGATTTAACTCAGTTACTGTCAGATCTAACTCAGTTACTGTCAGATCTAACTCAGCTACTGTCAGATCTAATTCAGCTACTGTCAGATCTAACTCAGTTACTGTCAGAATTACCTCAGTTACTGTCAGATCTAACTCAGCTACTATCAGATTTACCTCAGTTACTGTCAGATCTAACTCAGCTACTGTCAGATTTAACTCAGTTACTGTCAGATCTAACTCAGCTACTGTCAGATCTAACTCAGCTACTGTCAGATTTACCTCAGTTACTGTCAGATCTAACTCAGCTACTGTCAGATCTAACTCAGCTACTGTCAGATTTACCTCAGTTACTGTCAGATCTAACTCAGCTACTGTCAGATTTACCTCAGTTACTGTCAGATCTAACTCAGCTACTGTCAGATCTAACTCAGTTACTGTCATGTTCAGTGCCTTTAAGCACACTGTACTAGTTTAGCTAGTTAGCTCACTAATGACACTGCTGTACCATATTAAACCCCACAGAAGTCCACTGGACAGTCAGAGGACAGTGGGCCACCGCTGACCTGCTGATGGCGATGCTGGCATTTCCTCAGTGTGTTAGCAGAGCGTTAGTCTCAGTGTTCACAGTCTAGTTTACTGATTTGTCCTCCATTTGCTTTCTTGGTTCTCCTTCCTAAATTAGTCAATAGAGTCGCAATAGCGTTCTGTATCAGGGTTAGTCATTCGTTTTTATCTCTCAGTTGTTTGTAATATTTGTCTGTATTTTCTAAAATAAAAGTCTCTGCATTTAAAAGGTGTGAGGAGATTAAAAATAAGTTAGTCCTTGTAAGCCAGACAGTACTCTGGGTGGTCCGAGGGTGGTCCAGCAGTGGCGTACAGTCTGTGAGGGGCCACCTTATCAAACTGGACCGATACGTGCCTGTTGTCTTGGTAAGATCACACTGAAGAAGCCGTTAATCTAAAGTCTTTAAGAGGAACAAACGCTAATCGTCTGTGAGGAGTTAATCAGCTGATTCCACTCAGGAAAATCCCCTAAAATGTTGTTTAAAGCTTTGTTCCATTAAATCTATGCGATTAGAGTATAAACTGAGTTTAAGGCGACTCTCGCTGTGATGCTGCAGTGCTGCTTAACTAGCGCTGTGTTTGAACAGCTGAATGAACCTTTTCTCTGTTCTGCTCCGTTTCGCTCTGATCTGTGATCCACTAGTGATGATCCAATATATGGACGTGTATTTTTATTATTTGAAATATATTTCAAACTCACTGCAGTCGATGCTGAAATACATTTAAATACTAAAATGTATTTCAGAATATTTTGCCATATTAACCAAATATATTTATAAATACATTCATTTTAAAATGTATAGGGAAATTTTACACACAGACAAAAATAACTGTATGTAAATGTGTTTATCAGATCCATTAGAAAATGTATGAAAATACCCAGAATCCTGTCTGATGCTCTTCACTGTCTGATACCTTTAGAAATGAGTTTGTGTTCCAGTATCTTCATTTTAAATCTGATCTAATGATCCTTTATCAGGACAGAAGCGAGTGTTGTGGGTATTGATACTCTGTGAAAATGCAGTTATGATCTGATATCTTGTTTATGCGAAATACATTGTGTGTGAGAGTCTGACTGCAGACGTACATGGTTAATGTAAAGTACAGTGCAGACCACAGAAGAACGTTTAGTTACATCTGGAACCTTCATTACACACTGAACACAGATAATAACACATACAGATAAATATATATAGATATATATTTAACAAAGACATTTTGGAAAATATATTTTTCCCAACTGGGCCACCGTGCTGAGGTTTCCAGCTAAACCAGAACCAGACCAGCACAGACAAGTTTAGACCAGCATGAAATGCCTGCTGGTCTGTGTTATTTTTCTCAAAGAACCATCTGCATGATTAAATGGTTCTCTGCATGGTGAAATGGTTCTTCAGACTGATGGAGAATGTGTTGTATATGGTTCTATATAGCACCAAAAAGGGTTCTGCTATTGTTATAAGCTTGACATTGCAACAGTAGCAGAACCATTTTGGTGCTATATAGAACAATCTAAAGCACATCAATCTGGAGAACCATTTCACTATGCAGAGAACTTTAAGCATGCAAATGGTTCTTTGAGTGTTCATATGGTTCTGTATAGGACCGTCTCCGGAATCAACCTATCAGGAGATCATTATTGTTACAGTCTGCTGAGCTGGAGCTCCATTTAAGCTGAAACAGAGAGCTGGATCAAGAACTGTGCTGCGCCTCCCTACTTGTTAAGGAAATCTGGGAATGCCCCCCCATCCCTGTAATAAGACACTGTGTATATAAAGCTTTGTGAACTGAAAGTGAATATGAGGTGTTTGAACGTCCTCATGCTGATTGTTTTCTCGCTGTTTGCGGTCAGTCTGAGTTGAATCCGATGGTTTAGATCTAAAAGTCTTACAGAGCTTCTCTTCATCTGAGTGAACAGATCAGACCTAAATAACAGAGAAATCTGATCTGAGATCAGCTCTACTGCTTTCACAATGTGGGTCCAGCAGAACATCTGATACCTCAGCAGACCACAGAGAAAGAGAGCGAGAGAGGGGGGGCAGGAGCAAGAGAGAGAAGGAGAGAGGGGGGGGAGAGAGAGAGAGAGGAGGGAGGGAGGAATTTCCAGAAGGGAAATTTACTGGAGCTTCATTTTTACTTTCTCTACGCTGTGAACTCCTTTTACTTTTGTTCAGACCATCAGACTCAAATGATTTTAGAATCAGTGATATTTTAGACTCTTTACTCAGAAGCGGAGCACTCAGTAACACTGAAACTGAAAGTGGTGTCGTTTCTGAGTGAGGAGAATATAAAGGCTAAAATATGGTGAGTGTGAGCTGCTGCTGCTGTGAGTCGCCTGTAAAGCCTAAAACAATCATTTAATCATTTAAAATTCAGAGGCGTCGAGTTTTTCAGACCACGTCACACACACACACACACACACACACACACACACATATATATATATATATACATCTTTTTATTCCGACACTGTTTATCCATTCATAATAATTTTGAGTAAAACGTATTTTGAAAAAAAGATTTTTTTTTACAGATATTGACTGTAAATAAATACAGTTTTTTTTCTAATACAGACCAGTATAGTTGTTTTACATTTTCCTGCTCTGTATGTGTTTATTTAAAAATACACAACATTGTTTTTTTTACGCATGTTTGCTGTAATTATAAATAATAAGCACATTATAAAACCTAATGAAAATTAATTTACAGAACTGTAAAATTACTTTCAATACAGGGTAATAATAATATAACAACTCCATTGCCTGTTGTAACCTAACAGTAGTTTGTTGTTTTAAAACAGTAAATGTATGGTAAATTAATTTAAACTTCCATATTATCAACTGACAAACAGCATCAGACCAGATATTTTTACTAAAATGAGGTTTAAATAATTAAAATAATTGTCAAACCATTCAGAAATTCATAACCCTTCTCCTTAAAGTAAATTGTAATATCAGCTCAAATATATATTGTTGTCTTATATTTGGTAGAATTAAAGTTTTGAAACCACAAAAAATAAGTTTAGCAGGCGGTTCTCTGTTGTGTTCATTGGACAAAATCGTGGTTATGATCTGCTCAGCCAATGAATGTGGAGAATCACTTGTTTGAATCTGAGCGCGAGCTGCACCGGGAGCGCGTTCACACTGAATCACACAGGAGAAACCAGCCCGGCTGAACCGGAGTCTCCGTTCACACCGTGTCTTCATGTTCAGCTCCGAGGCGACTTGGTTTTATTTTTCAGACCTGCCGCTTCGCTGCAGTGAAAACGGCTGACTCCGCATTTAGTGTAGTTGATTTAGTGAAAGCTAACAGGGGGGTCAGCTGAGTTGGCTGAGTGTCCGGATTTAACGTTTTTAAAACAGCACCGCAGCTGACGTGTTGACCCCAGAGTCGCCAGGGTCGCTGCTTCGCCGCCAAACTGGGCTCGTTTGAAAACGACAGTAGCGGCCAAAACGACTGACTACAGACAGAAACTGAGCGGCTTTATGAGCGGATAAGCGACTCGCCGTAGGAGCGTTTGATTAGATGTAAACCCGGACAGAGAGCGCAGACAGAAAGGTCCGCGGTCTTCCCGCCAAATTGGGCTCGTTTGAAAATGAAGCCGTGAGTGAAGTTTTGAAAGTCGCGGGTTTTTGGTGTTTTGGGCTCCTTTCACAATGAACCGCGGCCGAGGAATCGCCGTATGATCTCTTGATAGAAGTTCAAAGAGCTGCATGTGATTATTGTTATCGGCCCGACTAGGGTAGTAATGGAAACCCAGTGAAAATGTTTGGGAACTTTACTTAAACAGTAATTACAGTGTTAACTCTCGTTTTGTTTCTTGTGCAAAAACGACACTCTGTGTCTATAAAGCCGTGCTGTTGGAGCACATGCAGAATGAGGCCTGGCACTGTCTTGGTGAAATAACCATGGACTTTCAGGGAATAGACGTTGTCTTGATGCATATGTCTCTTTAAAATCCTAATAAATGCCTCAGTGGTACCTTCACACATATGTAGGTCACCCCTGCAATGGGCACTGATGCCCCCATACATGACAGATGTTGCCATTTGCACCTTTCACTGACAAAAGCCTGGATGGTCCCTTTCATCTTTGGAATGGAGAATTTGACATCCATTTTTCCCCAAAACAAGCTGAAACGTGGACTCATCTGACCACAGCACACATTTCCACTGTCTTTTAGACCGTCTGAGATGAGCTCAGGCCCAGAGAACTCACCAATGTTTCTGCTTAGACCTGATGTACAGCTTTCTCCTTTACAGTAGAGTTTTAATTCTGCATTTCTTGATGTAGCGACAGGCTGTGTTAACCCACAACGTTTTTCCAAAGTACTCCTGAAGTACTCCCTCCCTTCTCGTGCAGTGCCGTCTGAGGGCTTGAAGATCACACACATTCAGCAGTGGTTTCCAGCCCTGCTCTACATGGACTGAGATTTCTCCAGATTCCCTGAATCTTTTCAAAATATTATCTACAGTAAATCATGAGAGACCTAAATTCTTTGCAGTCTTGTGGTGAGCAAAGTTCTTTTTGAACTGTTTGACAATTCTCTCATGAAAATCCTCCCTTTGCTTGATGAGACTGAGCCTTTGGTGGATGTTTCTTTTATGTCCAATCATGATTCCTTCACCTGTTACTAAATTACCGGCTTATTGTGGAATGTTTTAAAATGGAGTGACTTGAATATTCTATAAACTTTTCACTCATGTTTTGCCCGTCTCAGCTTTTTTTGAGTGTGTTTCAGGCATCAAATTCAAAATTTGTTTATGTTCACAGATACAGATAAGTTCATCAGCCAAAACATTAAAAATAATTTTTTTGTTCTTTTGTCAGTTAAATAAAAGTTAAGAAAATGAACAAAGCACTGAATGTTGCCTGTATTACGTTTTACAAAATGTCCCATTTTTTCGGGGTTTGTATTGTCAGTTTCCATCTTACTGTCATTGTTGAAAATGCCCCTAACAGCTATGTGTGGACCCCTTTTAAGGACGGTAATAACTGTTGCAGTACTAGGTTCTGTTATTGACACTTGTGCTTTGTATTAGCCAATTAAAAGCCCTCATTCTAGAGGCATATTCAGCGTAGCTGAGTCCTGAGTGTAGTGTGGTTGCTTTATCTTTCAGGTTGCTGGTTTTGATTTTAGTGTAAATGAAATCAAGAAACTTTGTTCTCATGCAGTTCCAATCTGAATGTTTCAGTAAGTGCATGATGTTACAGTCCAAACTACAGATGAATCAAGAATGATACAGGAGGTAATTAGTGCTCTAATTCACATTATTGTTTATGTTTTAGACACACATTATTATAATTCTTTAAAACTGTAGAAAGATTCACAGTAGCTATCTTTTTGTCCCCATTTGGTGTTTATTTTGAATGCTAGGTTGCTGGGTGATGTCATGATTGTTAAAGTTCAACTATCAAAATAAAAAGATTGAAAGTATGTATTATTGTTGAGGTTTTATTGTTCTGGCCAAAGGTTTTACATTGTTTTAAAAGGGCAATATGGGGCAATATTTAAAAGGGCAGTGTATTGGCTGTTGTGTATTTATGTAAAGTTAAAGAACACCATTGTTTTATCTGCTGAAATAAAAGATAATTGTGAAGAACATTCATGTAATTGAGAATATTGACTCCTGTGTAAAAGCTGGAATATAACAAAATGACTACAAAATTATGGTATATAATTTTTTAATAATGGCAAATTTCTGTGAATATACTGAAATATAAAATAAAAATGTTAACCATCGACTTTAATATTGGGGTAATTACAAGTAGTTTTGCATTGTATTTCTGTATTTAGCCAGAAGAATCCAGTGATGTAACAGCGGTATCTTGTGAATAAACAGTACATTGTAATAGTTTGTAGGCAGATCAACCAACATTTAACATTTCCACTGTAAATTTGTTGGATAAGAACATTTAATGACAGATTATATCTGCTGAAAAATCATTAATAGGATTGAAAAGACAGTAAAGTGACCATTAATTTAAATAGTTTCTTTATTTTACTTTAAAAATCTGTACTTTGACAGGTGCTTGTTGTAGAATGAAATAATTGAAATAATTCTATGAATTAACCTAACTACACTGTTATTTAAATGGTAGCAGCGATCAAATTGCAGACTTTAAGTGTATTTATGCAGTATTTCCATATTTTTAATACATTCTAGAGCTGTTTTTAACAATTAAATTAAATTACACAGAATATTCACAGGGAAAAGCTGTATTTTTACAGTAATCCACTGTACAGTATTTTATTGCAAAATTACAGAAACTGTTTGGCAACTTTTGCTGCCAGACATCTTACCGTTTTTTACATTTTTTTTTTACCCTGTATTAAACTACCTCGTACCATTTAGTGTGATACCTGCTCTAGTGTAAACACAACCAATCTGTCGTATATGTTTATGTAAATATGCATATATACGTGTATATAATCACGCCCTGTCCATTCCATCTTATCACGAGATCATACGAGACTCACATCCGGAGTTATGAGCCTATGAAGAGGGGCTGAGATACACGTCATCTACCTCTCACCGTGTGGAGCTGGTGGATTCGTGTGTCCGTCTACATTCTGTGTGAAACTGACCAATGGACACTCAGGAAATCACTAAGGACTGACCATCACGCCGGAAACCCTTCATTCTTCATTCAGTCCACATCGGAGACTCATGTGAAATGGCGTTCAGAGAGTTTACAGCTGCTGAAGCTGCTGCAGCGGTTTTGGAAAGTAGTGATGTGGAGAAAACTCATCTATATTTTATTCATACGTTCTGCTACTTTTGTGATCCTGAGACTTTGGTAAACACATTTCAACACCAAAACAATTCATCCACATCAGTAAAACTGATCATTTCAGAGAGAGCTGAGACTGTTCTGAACATTTTGATATAGAACATGTGGGTATCATGTCTTAAACAAGAGGAGAACTTAAGAATATATACCGAAATAATTTAAAAATGCCCTCAGACCACAGACGATTAAGGTTTGACTTAAGAGTATAAATAGAAGACCTTTTTTTAAGGTCAGAATTATTATTATTATTCTTAATAATAATAATAATAGGATAATAATATTATTATTATTAATAATAATGATAATAATAATAATAATAAGAAGAAGAAAACAACAACAACAACAACAAAACAACAACAACAACAACAACAACAATAATAATAATAATAATAATTTTTATTATTATTATTATTATTATTATTATTATTATAAAGACATACATAGTATAAGAAATATAATGTAACAAGTATAAATAAATGAGCTGGGACAAAACCCTGCTCGACAATGTGTGTACACGTCACTAAATACAGTGAACAGACAGATAAATATATAATCCAGTAAATATTAATGAGTGCAGTGATTAACTGAATGTGTGATCATAGAAAAACAGTCGGGAGTCTCTGTGATGAACACATTCACTGGAGCAGAATTCCAAGTCTGTGAGTAATAAAAAGCGCGCTGCGTTGGTTTTCAAGGGACTTTAATTCTGGAAACCCCCCACCCACCGCTCCCAGCGCCCCGCCCTCTCCTGGCGGGTCAGAGCTGAGAGTTAAAGTTGTGTAAAAGTCGCGCGCTGGAGTTTAAACCGCAGTCACTCCGCTGAGCTCGCGGCGCTGCAAGCGCGTCAGAGAGTCCGGGTTCGGTCTGTGAAGTTACAGAGCTGCTTCTGTGCGCGGATAGTTCGGTTCTGTTCGGCTCTTTTGGGTTCTGTTTGGGTTTAAACTGCACTATGTTCAGCTGGGTGAACCGGGACGGGCGGCGGAAGGAGCCGGAGCTCTTCAGCACGGTGTCGGACGGGCTGAAGCGGCTCTACCGGACCAAGCTGCTGCCGCTCGAGGAGGCTCACCGCTTCCACGACTTCCACTCGCCCGCGCTCGAGGACGCCGACTTCGACAACAAGCCCATGGTGCTGCTGGTGGGACAGTACTCTACCGGGAAGACCACCTTCATCCGACACCTGATGGAGCAGGACTTCCGGGAATGCGCATCGGGCCCGAGCCCACCACCGACTCCTTCATCGCGGTGATGCACGGCGAGCAGGAGGGGCTGATCCCCGGGAACGCGCTCGTGGTGGACCCCAAAAAGCCCTTCAGAAAGCTCAACGCGTTCGGGAACGCTTTCCTCAACAGGTAGGCGCAAAATCTCACTCTAACTCTCTGTTCCACCTTAAATGGTGTAGCAGCATTCTCCGTTCCACCTTAAGAGGTGGAACAGAATTCTTACTCAAACATTCCGTTCCACCTTAAGAGGTGGAGCAGAATTCTTACTCAAATTTTCCGTTCCACCTTAAATGGTGCAGTAGAGTTCTTGCTCCAACTCTCTGTTCAACTGTACATTAACTTGTAACTATTGCGCCATTTAAGGTGGAACGGAAAAATTAAAATAGGAATCCAACTTAAGGGGGCTTCTGCAGATTATCTCATCCTGCAGAATTTAGGGCAGCGGTGGTCAGTCCTTTGGGGTAATTTTAGAACCCCTTTGCCCCCTGACCACACCCTGCATCCCCCACTCCCCAGCTACTACTCTATTCTGTCGTGTTCTGTTCTGTATTATACCAATAAATGCGCTGCTTACGTCACTGTACTGTTTTTACACACTGTGAGGTGGCAGTGTGCAGTTTTGGACACACAGTTTTGTGGGGGGGTTGTGTGTGTGGGTGGGGTGTGTTAGGGGTCCTAACCCAGTGGTTCTCCGTCCCAGTCCTGATGATCCTACACCCTGCACACTTTGTCCCGTCCAGCACACCTGATTCAGCTCATTAACCAATTAAAAGCTCCGGGTGGGTGGGGCCAGGTGGGTAGAGCAGAAAAAAAATCAATCAGTAGTGATCAGTAGTGTTGATTGGTCCTCCAGATAAATTGGGGTGGGGGTCCTGGTGGTCCTGCAGAGCTCAGCTTCAGCCCTGACCTGACACACCTGGCGCAGGTGGAGCTGTCCTGTGGTCTGACCTATTACAGCGTGACGCTCCCTCAGGCTGGAGGTGTGAGAGGAGCAGAAGGTCTGGAGCTCAGAGAGGCTTTAATCAGTTACTCATTCTGCTCCCTTTGATCTGCTTGGTTACTCAGTGTCTCAGCGCTGACACCAGAGCCCTTATCAGAGCAGGAGGAAGCTGATTGGCTGAGGTCTGAAGGTGACGTGCTGATCATATTGATCATATTTTGTCTCAGTCAGAACTCAAACCTGTATGTTCTCCAGAAAAGGTGAAGGTTAGGACAGACGTTCCTGAGTGTTGGGCTGTGAGAGCCCCTGGTTCTGTAGTGAGGGTTCTGCTTAGGGAGTCGACCATGTTCTAGAGTGTCTCACTGTGTCTGAAGTGGTCCCGCGACCCCTGAACCCTACATTTTGCTGCTGTCAGAATAAAACCTTGGATCTCCGTTTTTGTCGTTTTTAAGTTTTTTACATAATTTGAAAAAACCTTTTGGCCTTTACATTGTATGTAAATTTCATGATGAATAAACCAACAGAAATGACCCAAAATCACTTAGAAAAAACTCTGGTTCCATTGACTTACATTAAAAGTAGTGTGTGTTTTTTCCTTCTCCTGTAAAGGTCTCATTTTGGAGATATGAGGTTTTGTTCTGACCACAGCGATTTGAAAATCTGGGGCCGTATTACAGAAACTTCCTCTCTTTTAGTCTTCAGATCTTTTAGCTCATGATATGATTTTTTAACAAATTTATATTACAGAAGCAAATCTGATCTTAATTTAGGAATTTCGTCTTATCTTACAGCATCTTATCTCCAGTTAGGAAATCTTAACCTACTTGATCAAAGTCGACAATCAGCTGTCATGTCTGTTTCCTAGCAACCGACCATAAACACACAGCAACGTAAATATGTCACCAAAATAATGTTAAAATGTGAGTTAAGCTGCCGTTACTGATGTAAAGAAAGGTCAAACAGAACTAAAGTGTGCTAAACTGTAAGTAGTGAATACTGTGAGAGCGCCCCCTGCTGTTTATCTGAGTGTCGCCGCTCCCCAGTTTCAGTCTCCATTTCCCAAACGCTTTAGCCAAGCGCGCTTACGTTACTCCTCCTAATAAACAGACACACGTTCAGCTCCGCCTCCTCATTATTCACCACCATCACTGTAATATTTCATCATCAACATTAACACACGAAGGTGATCAGAGGGGCGGTGGAGATCGAGTCTGCAGCGTCTGAGATCTTTAAAACGCAGAGTTAGAAAAGAAAAACATCTCACAGTGAAAGCAGCGTTTTACAGTAGAGATAAATGGAGCTCAAGGAACGGCCGGTCTTTTGGGTGTTAGCGTTAGCTGTTTCTGCTCTGACGGGTCGCCCGACTGCCTGTTTCTGCTCTGACGGGTCGCCCGACTGCCTGTTTCTGCTCTGATGGGTCGCCCGACTGCCTGTTTCTGCTCTGACGGGACGCTTGGCTGCCTGTTTCTGCTCTGACGGGTTGGCTGACTGCTCGTTTCCGCTCTGACGGGTCGCCTGACTGCCTGTTTCTGCTCTGACGGATCGCCTGACTGCTCGTTTCTGCTCTGATGGGTCGCCCGGCTGCCTGTTTCTGCTCTGACGGGTCGCCCGGCTGCCTGTTTCTGCTCTGATAGGTCGCTGACTGCTGGTTTCGGTCGCTGTGGTCTTTACATCTGAGGGCTCTGAGTCTCTATTGGTTCTCAGCTGGATAAAACCGGTCAGACCTGATGACCTGTTTTTGTGGGTCCTTATGGGTCAGATTCAGTTTTATTGGCAAGCTGCTGAACTGTGTGTCTGTGTGTGTGTGAGAGGGAGAGAGAGGGAGTGAGAGGACGTCATGAGACACGGAGACGCTTCTCTCTCTCTCTCTCACATTCACACACACACTCTCTCTCTCTCAGGCCGCTGGCAGAGGATCTGGAATGAGTGGAATTTTCTCTCAGAGGAAATCTGGAGAAAGTTCTGGAAGGACAGCAGCTCCAGGAACAAACTTTCAGAGCTCATTTTTAGAAAACAGAATGAAAAAGGGCAAAAACGGGGGGTGGGCTGGGATGAGGGGTGGGCTGGGCTGGGGTGGGGCGGGCGCTTAGCAGCAGAAGCCGAGTTTATATCTTGGTTTATACATAGGTTTCCGTTTGGTTTTATATATGAACACCTAGGTTTATATGTAAATCTGTATGTAGGGTTAATACACAGGGTTTATATAGGGAAGTTTATAAAGTAGTTTATATGCAGGTTTTTGCATTAAACTAGCCTCTTCATTGAGGTGCGAGTGGATCAGACACTGATGTGGTGGTGGTGTGTTAGTGTGTGTTGCGCTGGTGTGAGTGAATCAGACACAGCAGTGCTGCTGGAGTATTTAAACACCTCAGTGTCGCTGCTGGACTGAGAACCAAAAACATACATCCAACAGCGTCCCGTGAGCAGCATTCTGTGTGCAGGACTAGAGGATGACCAACACAAACTGTGCAGCAGCAGATGAGATATCGTCTCTGACTTTACATCTACAAGGTGGACTGACAAGGTAGGAGTGTGTAATAGAGTGGACAGTGAGTGGACACAGTGTTTAAAAACTCGAGCAGGACTGCTGTGTCTGATCCACTCGTACCAGCACAACACACACTAACACACCACCACCACGTCAGTGTCACTGCAGTGCTGAGAATGATCCGTTTGGTGTGTGTTTGTGTGTGTGTGTGTTTGGTGTGTGTGTGTAGATGTGTGTTTGGTGTGTGTGTGTGTGTGTGTGTGTGTGTGTGTGTGTGTGTGTGTGTGTGTGCTTGCTGTGTGTGGTGTATGTATATGTGTGTGTGTGTGTGTGCTTGCTGTGTGTGGTGTATGTATATGTGTGTGTGTGTGTGTGTGTGTGTGTGCCTGCTGTGTGTGGTGTGTGTATGTGTGTGGTGTATATTGAACAATTCTGTCAGGACTGTTGATTTCAGAGCTGAAGTAAATGCTGTCAGAAGGTCTGAATGTTCTCTCCGTGTTCTGCTGATGTTCCTCAGGTTTGTCTGTGCTCAGATGCCAAATCCGGTCCTGGAGAGCATCAGCATCATCGACACGCCGGGAATTCTCTCCGGGGAAAAGCAGAGGATCAGCCGAGGTCAGAGTCTGAGTCTGTTCCCCTCTCTCACAGACCGCACTGTTATCAAAACAGAATTTTGATAGTTGTTTATCTTTCCCTTCGTTTATGTGGTTTGTTCCTCTTCACACGGTTCTGACTTTAGTTGTGAGATGTTCCTCAGTTCAGGTTCTGCCAGAGAGTGTGTGTGTAAGCTGGACTGGTCCGTAAGATCGGCTGATATCCAGGTTTTTTATTAAGGATTTATCACTCTGCAACAGGTCAGCTCACAGAGTTACGACATTCTGATGTGAGGAACAGCGTCACAACACAATCACCACCATTACCACCTTCAACACCACCATCATCACCAGCTTCAACATCATCACCAACACAATCACCACCATCGCCAAAACAATCACGACCATTCCCACCTTCAACACCACCTTCAACATCATCACCAACACAGTCACCACCATTACCACTTCAACATCACCAACACCAACACAATCACCATCATCACAATCACCACCTTCAGTACCACCATCACCAGCACAATCACCATCAACACAATCACCACCATCACCAACACAGTCACCACCATTACCACTTCAACATCACCAACACCAACACAATCACCATCAACACAATCACCACCATCACCAACACAATCACCATCAACACAATCACCACCATCACCAACACAATCGCGACCATCCCCACCTTCAACACCACCATTACCACCTTCAACATCATCACCAACACAGTCACCACCATTACCACTTCAACATCACCAACACCAACACAATCACCATCAACGCAATCACCACTAGCACCACCTTCAGCACCACCATCACCAACACAATCACCATCAACACAATCACCACCATCACCACCACCTTCAACACCACCATCACCACCATCATCACCACCTTCAACACCATCACCAACAGAATCACCACCATTACCACTTCAACATCACCAACACCAACAGTCACTTACTACACCACCACCATCACCACGACTGATCACCTTCAACCAGGAGAGTCCAGCCCTTCAGCCTGAGGGGAGCATGAGGAGGTGGTTAATGATTTAGCACTGAGTCTTTCTCTGAGAAGAGCTGATTAAGAATTGTGGGTAGCTCCGCCCCCAGTGCAGTGTTTATATTATTTACATCTGAGAGTTTCTGCTGTTTGTGAAACGTCAGTCAGATGAATAAATAAAACTGATTAATTAAAACTTAAATTTTAACTGTATTAAATTATCAGCTGAAATAATCAGTTATTGGAAATATTAACTGTTTAATATCAGTATCAGGGATCTGACGTTCATATCAGTCCAGCTCAGAGCTTCAGCCTAAAGTGAACAGAGTTAGCGTGGCGTTAGCGGGGTGGGGGAGGGGGCGTATTATTTTTAGCTGTCCTGTTTACATTAACACACACACACACATACACACACACACACACACACACACACACACACACACACAAAGTGTGCTGATGGGGAGATTCCTGAGTGTGTGTGTGAAGGAAGTAGATGTATAGATGTATGTGCTCAGTCAGTGACCGCTGCATTGGTCAGAAAGGCCGAGTCAGTCTTTGTTCCTCGCATGGTTCTATCGTCTGTGAAGTGATGCTGAATGTGTGTCTATAGAATTTCTTTAGAACGACAATCAGTGGGTTTATAACTAATAACATTATAGACACAGAAACAAACTGATAGTGATCAATAACTGATACTTAAATATCAGCAGATACACAGTATTGATACCAATAACACACACAAGGCTTGAATTGACATGATGTGCATTTTTGTGTCCATTATTGTCCCCAAAAATAATTTAATAAATACGTGACAAATTACTCAGCAGTTCCTCTTTTACATGACAGTTTTCAGTGCATCCATGTAAAATTTCAGTTTAGTTTTTTTTTCTCTCCAAAAGTCTAGAAATGTCAGGTGGTGCAGCCGTCCAACCATGTATGTTGATTGAGTAAACTACCAAAAAAAGAGAATTTAGTTATAAAATTCTAAATTGTTTGTCATGAGTTTGTGTTTAAAAACTTTAAAATAAAAATCGTTGCAAAACAAGGCAACTTTAAAAGTGTTGAACTCTTGTCCTCAAATGTTTACTTCCTCAAATGTCAGGCGGCACAACCAAAAACTAAGGGCTTTTATTTTGACATGCATTTACTAAAGAGGGACCAGGGTATTGTATCATAAAGAAGACCCCAAGTGACCTTCATGGTGCAGCGCCAAGGTCACAGATATAGTGAAGTGTGATGTTTGAGTCATGGCTAGAACGGTTCCGTTTACCATGTCAGGTGGTCTGACCTCAGGAGAACCATGAAAATGTGGAATTATTATAATAAAGTTTATTTATTTGAAAAATTTTAAGTATAAACTCAAGTTGAAGAATAAAGGTTTCTACGGGTGTCTAAGTAGATGCCTGTTTAATTTGAAACTAGTCTGAAAAGTCAGGCGGTGCAACCAGTCAGTCAGATGGAGCAACCAGACCAGCACAGTTTAACAACCGAAACAGGAAATTAAAGATTTGATACACTCACTGTATTTGCACGTGAATGCGCGTCATGTCCTTTTTATAAGGAAAAATGACCGTTTTGAAAACCTTACTTGTGAACTGAATTAGAATTAAATTTTTTAAAATTTAGTTTACTGTTTTATATTTAAATAATAAACATTAGTCATTTGCTGTAACAGTAGTTCCTGTTTTAGTGGTTTTCTCACTTTAGTCCTCATCAGTGTGTGATACAGCTGACCAGTGAAGGTGCAATACAGGTGATGCTAGCCTGGCTAGCTGGCTGCTATGCAAAAATTTAACCCAAGGCTAACAGCCATCATGACCTCAAGAGAGCAGCAGGTCCTTCCATACGTCGCCAACATTCACTCTCTCAGAACACCACGTGACGCCGAAACGTGCCTCGCTCTCCCGTTCGGCTAAAGGAGCTAAAGCTAGCGTTCCGAACGCCGCGTGACCAGAAATGTGCCTCTCTCCCGTTCGCCTAAAGGAGCTAAAGCTAGCGTTCCGAATGCCACGTGACGCCGAAACGTGCCTCGCTCTCCCGTTTGGCTTAAGGAGCTAAAGCTAGCGTTCCGAACGCCGAAACATCTCTCGCTCTCCCGTTCGCTTAAAGGAGCTAAAGCTAGCGCTCCGAATGCCACGTGACCAGAAATGTGCCTCTCTCCCGTTCGCCTAAAGGAGCTAAAGCTAGCGCTCCGAATGCCACGTGACGCCGAAACGTGCCTCGCTCTCCCGTTTGGCTTAAAGGAGCTAAAGCTAGCGCTCCGAACGCCGCGTGACGCCGAAACGTCTCTCGCTCTCCCGTTCGGCTTAAGGAGCTAAAGCTAGCGTTCTGAACGTCGCGTGACGAATAGTGAATAGCACACACACACACACACTCTGATGTGTTAACTGTGAGCTGAGGGAGCTGAAGGTCATCTGAAGGTCATGATTCACTTCCTGCTGCCCTGTCACACATGCTCTGAGTGAGGTTAATGAGGAATTCTGGGAGATCTTGCAGAAAAGACTGAAGAGTTTAAAGTGCAGAACTGCTGGGGTTAGTGACTAGAGTCAAAGTTAACTCTTTTACATTGTAATAATAATAATAATGTTGTTTTGTTGTTGTTGTTGTTGTTGTTGTTGTTATTATTATTATTATTATTATTATTATTATTATTATTATTGTCACGTCTCCTCAATGGGCCTGTTGTGTAATTGACGCTGGTTGAAGCCATTCTGTAATCCGGTTTGTTTTGGCGGGTGTAAACACTCCTCCTGCTCTCTGATCCACTCCAGAACAGCTGAACTGTGATCCAGCAGAACATCTCAGTCTCGGTTCACGTCCAGCTGAACTCGGTCCAGTTCAGTGTGCAGTGATGATGATCTACACCAAATGAGGGAATAAATTCAGCAGCAGATCATGAAGTTTTGTAGAGGTGGCAAAAATATAATGTACTTCAGAAAATTTTCAAGATACATGATATGCCACAATATTTATTTTTTAAAAGAAAAGAGTATAAACGATATATACGATATGAACGATATATACGATATACGCGATGTACACAACATGTTCAGAAAAGCAAACTGTATTGTGACAATCACAGTACTGTCATAAACAGCTCTACTGTTCTGCTTCTTCTAGCAGCTCATCAGCGCTGGACTTTCCACAGAATCTGTACAATTCAGTATCTGAACCTTTGCACGCGCTCACACTGTGTCTGTGGTGTTTCAGCACTACAGATTCCTGGTCTCCATTTAGTCTGGGTTAGTCTGGATGTAGTCTGGGTTTAGTCAGAGTGTGGTCTTGGTGTAGTCTGAGTGTGGTCTGGGTTTACTCTGGATGTGGTCTGGGTGTAGTCTGAGTGTGGTCTTGGTGTAGTCTGAGTGTGGTCTGGGTTTACTCTGGATGTGGTCTGGGTGTAGTCTGAGTGTGGTCTTGGTGTAGTCTGAGTGTGGTCTGGGTTTACTCTGGATGTGGTCTGGGTGTAGTCTGAGTGTGGTCTTGGTGTAGTCTGAGTGTGGTCTGGGTTTACTCTGGATGTGGTCTGGGTGTGGTCTGAGTGTGGTCTGGGTTTACTCTGGATGTGGTCTGGGTGTAGTCTGAGTGTGGTCTGGGTTTACTCTGGATGTGGTCTGGGTGTAGTCTGAGTGTGGTCTGGGTTTACTCTGGATGTGGTCTGGGTGTAGTCTGAGTGTGGTCTGGGTTTACTCTGGATGTGGTCTGGGTGTAGTCTGAGTGTGGTCTTGGTGTAGTCTGAGTGTGGTCTTGGTGTAGTCTGAGTAGTCTGAGTGTAATTTGGGTTTAGTCTGAGTGTAGTCTGGATTTGGGTTTAATCTGGGAGACAGGGTTTAGTCTGGTTATAGTGTGAGTTTAGTCTGGGTTTAGTTTGATTGTAGTCTGGGTTTAGGTTTAATCTGGCAGACTGGGTTTAGTCTGGGTTTGGGTTTAATCTGATAGACTGGGTTTAGTTTGGGTATAGTGTGAGTTTAGGCTAAATGTAGTCTGGGTTTAGTCTGGCTT